CGCCCAATTCGAGCGCGTGGCGAGATGTGCGCATAGCAATATCGATCGCCGGGCGGTCACATCTTGCCACGCGCTCGAATTGGGCGGTAGGCCGGCCTAAGACAACGATTTTTAATAATTAATTACTCGTTAACTATTACGAAAATTGCAAAATGGTACAGGACTTTTCCGTTCATCTCGATTCGTTTTACTTTCTCAAAAATTTTGTCGGATGTGGAAAGACTTACCCTGTATGTACCTACATCAATGAAATTTCTCGCGCGAGGTGCGACGATTAACAATAACGACAATGAATGACAATCGCAAACTACGATATTTCGGCTGTATATGTTTCTCAAAGTACGAAGTAACTTTTTCTTAACCAAGAGTCATTTCTTCAAAGATGAATTTTTTTCTGCCTGCTTTTGGAAAATTTGTAAATCCACCTTTTGTAAAAGTTTCCATTTAATTGGATACGTTTTCATAATTATCAGAATCCTCATGTCAGTATATATTTTATATCGTAATTTTCTTTGCATTAACATGATAATTTTTGAAGTACTCTTTGAGAATGGATTAATTATCGACAGAGAAATTCACCTTTTCAAATTATACATATACTCTTCGAAACATCACAAGTGCGAAAACGTTTGCGAGTAATAAATGGGAGGTCTTTGATCGAAATCTCATCGTGACTGAAAACATATAAGCAGGGCGAATCAATAATTACTAAATGGCGTAGATTCGGTTTCATGGAAGCGCGTCGCGATTGAGGTTGTCTGCGAAGCGAACAAAGGAGAAATAGAACTCGGTACTTTGCCTACCATGCTGTTCAACAACGTTTCAATATGCATAGGATATGAGACGAAGCGAGAATGGAGAAAAACTGAGTATATACGTTCAGAATATTTGACAAGCGTGTTATCGATCGGTCCTTCTGGTTCCGGTGATTTAAATTGTTCGAGGGAAGATTTGTGCAAATTCGCAGGAACCAGAAAAATCAATGCAGTTGACCCTAAACAGTATAAAATATATTATTTACTACGTAAAAATCTTCGACTGTCTAATCTGTTTAATAAGGATATTAATGGTCGTATTCTTAAAGTCTAATAGTATTCTACATTTCCTGCATTTAATCACAAACAACTCAAGATCATGACTTTATAAACATTTATATGAAGTAATCGTAATGAAAAAAAGGACAAGAACTTCGTACACTGTTTAGGATTAACATTCACTTTGACACAACGTTCGAATCATGCGAGAAACGCACACGTATTGGTAGCCCTACCTGTCGAGGCTTGACCGGCGGTGGTGGAGGACGAATGGAGGGTCCGAGGACTGCGGCTACCGTAGTTTGGGGTTGATGATGAAGTAAGGGTGGCTGCTGCCAAGGCAGCCCTGTGCGTCCCAATGTTCCCTGTTGCTGCAGCTGCTGCTGCAGCTGCTGCTGCACTTGCTGCTGCGCTTGCTGCAGATGCTGCTGCAGATGCTGCTGACTGCTGCTGCGCTCGACTACTGGCGTAACTCGAGGAAGTGTTGAACCGACTGAAGAAGTCTTCCGAACTGTCTGTGAAATTAGCTACTGATTACTCGGCTCTTAGCCGAGACGTTTCTTCCTTAACGCATGCCAGTAACCGAGCCCAAGTGTAATCATTAAAACGAAATTACGTTATACGAAGATACATATATATCGTCGACTCAAATCCAGAAAGAAGCAAGTTTTACGTAGATTCATGAAGAACAAGTACATTACCTGACTTTACTGGCCAAATCTCTAGCAGATACTTGAGTACGGCGATCGGCTGCTGGAAATCCAAGGGGGGCCCAGTTTCTTCCGAGTGTAACATCAATACCGGGCCGAAGCAAACGGCGAGGCTCGCCGGCGACATCTTATTGCACTGCGATACCACCATCGCCAGATGATCCAGCAAGTAAATCAACGTGCACTGTTGAATCAATAACACACGTAATTAGAATCTGAGTATAATCGCGGAGAAAAGCCTCCTCGGATTTAATACACTTTCCTGGCTACAGTCAATGCATGTAAAAATAACTTGACGGATACACATACCCTGTTGACCTTAGGCAGGCAATCTAGTATACTGAACATAAGCTTAGCGTTGCCCTGCGGGTCGTCCGGCAAACAGACGGCCAGTGCGTCGACCATCATCTGGTACAGGCACTTCGTGAAGAGAGGTTCCGGAAGTTCCCGTAAATAATCCTTCAATACTCCTGAAAAGAACGCAGTCGCGTCGTCAGTGGTCTCGCATTTCTCTCGAGATAATTTTACGTATTTTGCGGCACACTACCAGTGATGACGTTGATGTCCGGCACGTTGTCGGGCGACAGATTCACGGACCGTGCGTTCCTCTCGAAAGCTTCCCTCAGTATCCTCTTCTTGGTCGCCGAACCGCAGAGTCTGTACAAACCTATTGCGCGAGATAAAGCAACGATTTTTATTGCACACACACACATGAACACTATCGACTTGGCGGCGTTTTCTATATTATAATGTGTTCGATACTTACCGATAATATCAAGTCCTCTTCTCTCTACCTCTTCGACGCAACGCCACACAATAATTGGAACGTTCGAGACTCCCATCGCCAAAGCCGTGGAAACACCACCGGGAACCCCGCCAGTTTTAGTTTCTCGACTCACCTGTTTTATTAGCAAAAAGAATTATTACATATTTTAAGATGTAGATGGATCAAAACTAGAAAATAGAAAATCATTTTTAACTAAAAATGAAAGATTGATAATTCGCCATCATAAGAAGAGAAGCTTACCACTGTATCCAAATCAACCCCGAAGAGAGGCGCTACCCTCGTAGCTAAGGATATGACCGGCAGACCCCTTCGACGGAAAGTTTGTTGGGCGTCGGTGTATCGCAGTTTTAAATAAATTGTGCCACGTGGCTCGACCTTGACGGCTAACTGATGTTCCGGCGACTCCTTGAGCAGACTCGCCAAATGCACCGACCCCTTGTAACAGAGTTTATGCCTGTATTGTGGGTCCCAAGAGTAAACGAGCAGATCCAGCTGCCGATTGCCTACGAGGTCCAGCTCGAAGGTTTCATCCCAGTCAAACATCAGATCACCGGTTCGCACTACCGTGCGCGCTTTGTGCACCCTGTCGCACTCCAGTACGCAGTACAAGTCTCTCAAGCCGCAACTAGCTGTAATTTTTGGCGAATTGCTACATTCATTTGAACAAAATTATTTCGAAGAGCGTAAAGTAGAGTTTTTACACCCAAGATCGGCAATCGCGACATTGTGCGTGTTGTTTGAATGTGCGAGATTAGCGTAAAGCGAGCCAGGTTTTCACAAAATATGGAAATTATTAAGATCTGCCGAACTCGAGCGACGCGCAGGCACATACGGCTGCTTCATTTAACGCACCTAAATTCGGTTGACCTGAGGGAGTGGAAGGTGTAGTGGCGGCCGATGAGGTCGTAGTCGATCGGAGGCCGCGCCCCGCCAAAAGATGAACCGATAACAATCCGCTGACTCCGCTTGCCAAATCGCCGCCGGTCGCCTCCCCGAGCGAGCTCAAAAGCGAGCTCGTCGAGCTGGGAGTGCCCACAGTCGGCGGCTTCTCTATTTTATACTTGAGGAACTCTGCGAAGCGAAACGAATCTCTTTAGCGCTCTCAACCTTACGAAACGAGGCGGTAGACAGATACGCGTTAGGCTGTCTAATCACCCGCAGGATTAATATCTAGCAGTATTTGACCCTGAGTTCTGGTAGGCGTTGGGGTAGGTATGCTCCTCGTGGACTCCAAATCCAACAGGTTCCTGATCCTCCTCACCGACGTCGCCCGACTCGCGGAGCTCGTCAGCGACGCTTTCTGGGCCGCCAGCGATGTGCGCGCGCTCGAGGCCACCGAGGCTGGCCTCGGATTCGTTGTACCGCGATGGCACGTTGAACTGATCGCCGTCGATGCCCTCAGATTCGCGAGATTGACCTGCTGGGCCGAGGCCGATCTCGTCGACAGGCGATCGAGCGTGGTCGAGAGCGGCCTGTACCCACCGTAACTGCCGTAGTCACCCTGCATCGGAAAGAGATACAGAGTTAATATTCGTATAAACAGATTTTGCGTATCCACACTTTGCATTATCTCTGTCCGTTTTTCTCTGAAGAAATTTTCATTTTACACCCACTCGTCGAGTGTACGTCAGTGAACTTGATAATAGAATAACGGGAAGAGCTAAATTGATCATTTTTTGTAGTTGTTCGGTAATAACAAAATTAGCGAATATTCGGTCGATGCTCCGAGCGCGCTGTAATTTCACGCTTACCTGATTGACTGCTGCATGAATGTTCTCGGCGCTGTATGTGTAACGGGGTGGTCTACTTGTGGTCGCCCTGATCTGCTCGTAAAGGGCGCTGGTACTCGGTGTGCGGCTCAGCCAGGCGCGGTACTCGTCCGACGTGAATACACTCGGCGAGGACGGTATCCTGCCTATTTATCGGTACGGTCAGTTCGCGTTAAGCGTAGCCCAGCCGATTGCATTGCCGGCTACTGTCTTGATTATCTTGCTTACCTCTGTCACGTCTGATGGAAGGCAATTCCGGCGCTGATAGAGCGCCGTCGCTGTCCTCTTGATCGATCAGGCCCGACGCGACCGTGCTGAGGCCCGACCTGAGACCAGGCTGCTGGGGCAACGTCCGACCGCTTCGCGGTAATGAATTCGACCTTAAACCTACGGAAAAATCTTGTGATTTGAAGACAAGTGCATTCTCTGCCGAGGACTTGAAATTTAAAACTGTTACAATTCCCCGCGATCTTACGCCCTTTCGATTTGCATAGCATTTATTATCCGCATAGTTGTCCTAACTACGCTGGTAATCAAGAGTTCCAACTCGGTGATTATAATTAGCAAACTCCATTTTCAAAATCTACATAGGAGTCTCCAAATTATAAGTTGAGGAACCAAACGCTTAATTAAATTTGACCTATCTCCATGGAAATCGTAGAAAGATGCTATCAACCGCGATTAAGTCTAAAGAACTTGGAAAGTGCTGAATATAATTAAGCTCGATAATTGGCTCCACTCACCTGAGGAACTCTGACCGATTTGTGACCTCGATAGGGTAGCTAAGTGCGACACGGCGCTGCTTTGAGATGGATTGTTCATATTGTGCCTATAATAGTAATACGCTGATTTCGGTGAACTGGAGCACGTAGCCTCGGTGTCGGAGGCATAGTCCAACGACGGTCGATGCCGCCTCGTCAAGGTGCCGAATTGTCCTTGTCTCTGCGCGGCGGACGTTACATCAGTCTGTCCGTACCTCGGGTTGTAACGCAATGCTGACGTACCTAATAACGACACAACACCGTATTGCAAATGCACCTATTGTCGCGGATAGAAAATTGACCAATGTAGGAAAATTGATAGCCGACACAGAAAATATTTATTTCATATTTCTCTGGGTCTTCTCGAGGTCGCGTTGTCTTTGCAGCAACGGATTCGGAATTCAATTAATTGCATTTTCTGCGAAATTTAGGAATTCGAGAGGCGTAGAGTGATGTAATTCTTATTGAAGGCCATTCTCGTAGATCTCAAGAGATGGCGAGAGAGATGGAGAGAGAATCAGGCAGGGAAAGAGAGGAAGGGAGGATTAGAGAGAGAGAGAGAGAGAAAATAGATGCTTCGATGATAGGTAAACTCATTACGGACCTGATTTCAAGCTGGATCTAAGAAGGGTATGTCGCGCCGGCGTTGTGATGCTCGTGTAATCGACTCGGGGTAGGTGCTGGTCGGAACCACTCCTCGGCATGATCCTTCCGCTTCCGGTGTGCTGGCCGTAGCCGTAATGGGTCTGCGTGGTTTGGCCCGACAATCTGCCGCCGACTGATTGCATTCCCGTCGACATACGCCGGCCGTTCGAGGGCATCATGGACCCCGTGTAGAAGGGGTGTACCTAATCGCATGATCGCACGAATCCTTTGAGTATAATTCGTGCGAGCGTTCCTTAAATAGATTTTCTTAAAGTTGCCGATCGCCGTGACTCGTTAAATATTCTCTTTCTCACCAATGCTCTCCAATTTATCGTTAATGATTGTCACTTTCTTGTACATTACGTCTCCGAAATTTAGATTCCTTCGGGAAAAGTAACGGCAATTGCAACGATAAAGTCTCATCTCCAACAATCGATCGATGACATCGATTACCTTTTGTTAGCGATATTTGCTTGTAATAAGCCTCGTATAAGCTCTGACAAAAAATAGATTAATACGTAACAAATTTAAAACTGAAAAAAAATATATATCGATACACTTTAGAAGAACGTGATCTGTGCACAATTAAATGTGCACGTACAGTTCTTTACAGTAAGCGTTGTAAGACAATTAAAACTTTTCAAGTGCAGTCTTTAATAAAATTATAAAAATTTATAACGGCTTTGCAGAACGATACTGAGTAAAGCGCTGGCAATCGATAATCGATCGAACGCGATAACGCTAGCCACGGCAGTGATTAACGTTATTCAGAACACAGGCACATAGACGCAATCGACAGAACAAACGGACAGCAAGCTTGCAACAAGGAAACATAAGTTAGGGTTCACGTCGCAAGCAGCGGCAGGTGTGCGCGACTACTACGGTTTAAGAACGCACATAAATATCCGTTAATTCGCGTTACGCTTTTTCTAGGCAGAACTCGTTAAACGAATGCACTGGTGCACTGTCGAGAGTACGGCTAAACATTTCCCTCGTTTGCTATTAAACGCCCCCCCCCCCCGCGATTATTTCGCGTTTATTAACTCTTGAACACTTCGCCGGATAATTTATTCTACCGCGAGTGTATAATCTTCTTTTTCGTTTTATCAATTCTTTATTATTACCAAACTTTAGCCTCAAGCTTTTACAATTTTTATGACTTTAATAAGAGGAACAATTTGATTATAATGAATATTAATAATATTAATTAATATTTAACAATACTTAATGCCTATATGTATAATTCATTATTATATTATTCTGCGACTTCTTTGATTATTCAACGAAAGAAGAAATGTATACGATTTTTTACATCTTTTCTACTATCGTACTGGCAAAATGTATTTAATCTTCCGCGTTTCACTGACTCGACTTGGGCCTTTACATTCCAAAACTAGCATCTCGGCAAAGAATGAAAGAATCTACGGTGAACTTTTTAAGGAGCTGAGCGTCTAAGGGTGATTGGAGTTTAAAATGCGTTGCGTAGGCGGAGGCACTCGCGCATTCGTTCGTCGCCAAGTATGTACACGAAAGGGAGGGAGAATGTATTTATACTCGTCCATTAGAGGCATTATACAGAAAATTGCAGTCATACACAAGTCTAGATATCAAGATAGAGTTTGTGTTATCTTTACCTTTGTAAAATCCTGGTTAATTTCAATGTAGCATTCATTCATAGAACCGATTAGTCATTTGAAACACGTGGTCGATACGCGAGCGGATCGGCGACGCTCCGCGTCGTTCGGAAATGCATTCCTCGAAATTGTCAGACATTCGTCTCAGACATTCGACGTTTATTCTCACGACGTGTTTGCTTTCGAGAACATCGGGATAGAAGTCCGATGCACGGAGCGAATTTACAAGGAGTCGACATTTTATGCGAGTGACATTTTGATCGTCGCGAGATACGCGATTCTTGGTGATATATATATATTTTTTTCAATTTCTCCGTTTTGCGCAACGCATCGAGAAGCTGTCTTGCGAATTATTCTTCTTAATTCCGACAATCCGAATGACACGGAGATCGCGACAGCAAGTGTCCCGAGACATTGCCACGAGTTCACCACTTTCTTTCAGTCGTAAAATAGCGTTCAATGAAGACAGTGAAGGGCAAACGAGTATCGAATTGGTGCAGACAGGTGTGAAATGGTGCTCGATCCACATCGTCTAGAACATCTATGCGTGAACTACAACGGATCGAGATCACGTGAGCGATATGTGTTTCCAGAAAATTAACGTCAGTATCGCAGTTAATATAATCTCGTATTCTGTCATATTCTGTGACATTTACAAAAAAAAAACGATAATTTTCTCATAACATGAACACTAGTATACATTATTGGAAAATTATTATTACCATTCTATTAAAAATAGTAGTGAATGAAAAAAAAAGAAAGAATACTGTCAGCTTTTTATATTTAATAATCAATGTTAACAATTGTTAAATTACTGATTCAATTCGACTCTTTATTCTCAAATTTTCGCTTTATCCCGAGGAACGATTTGTTCCTCGGCGATATTTTCCACCGCTCTGACGGATCTCGATCCGCGGTCAAGATTTTGGTATTTCGGCGCTTGAAGCCGTCGCGCAAGACTTACTTTCTCGGCCAAGCTCTCTAACGTCTTCGGATAGCCGCGCTCGTACGGCTGAAAGTGTTGCGTCGACGAAGGTTTCGGCTGGTGCGTGATAACCGGCGGCGGTGGCGGTTGATAGGACCAGTGACCCTCCGGCCGTGAATTATAGTACAGGTCCCCGTTGCTCGATCCGAGATCTTGGCTCGATCCCAAACCCGTGAGGCCGAGTCTCGATCGCGACGGCAACATTTCGCGCCCGTCGCCCCGTCTACGGCTACTGCCATCCCTTCATATAAAATTGACCTCCGTGCATTAGCCGAAGTCGCTAATGTTGGACTTATTGTCTTGATTTAATTTTAAAAAAAAACAACGCCCGTGTTTCCTTGACCATACCTTTAATAATACAGAAAATGTGTTGCGAAAAATATTACCTCAGCCAGGAACCAGGACCTACCTACACTCTAGGCGGGCGTCTCACCAATTCGACCACCGGGGCATACGATAATATTTGTCGCAATAACAGTATAAAGATGTTGTCTACGCGTATATTTTCGACTTTTGTGAACTGCGCGCCGATAAGGGTTTTCTATGTACGGCCGACAACCCTTATTGGCGCGCAGTTTACAAAAGTCGAAAATATACGCGTAGACAACATCTTTATACTGTTATTGCGACAAATATTATCGTATGCCCCGGTAGTCGAATTGGTGAGACGCTCGCCTAGAGTGTAGGGAGGTCCAGGTTCAAACCCTGGCTGAGGTACTGTTATTCGCAATAAATTTTCTGTATTATTAAAGATGCCAGGTATGGTGTAGAAAACACTGGCGTTGTTAACTACCGGCGACATTGAAGAATTTTGATTAGTTAATTAAAAAAAGATGAATAAGAGAGTTAAACTGTCGTATATCATCAATCGGGACTAATGTAGTACCTGTTATTATAATTGGAGAATTGTTCTGGAATATTGGCTCTTTGCTAATAATCAATTTATAGTCTCAACGAGCTTCTGTACGAGCAGAGAAGAAAGATAAAAAGGTTTGTAATGACGTCAACAACAAAGCCATCCATACGGCGTGTCTTGAAATAGCCAATTTGCGAGACGTCTTGCGACTGTTAATTCAAGCAGTCGGTATAGAGGAATTAGTCTGAAATAATACCTGACGTGATTACTTGTCGCGTGGTCGCTCTCGTCCTCGTTCAATTCCCTCTTGATGACTACTACGGGCGGCGCCTTGTGCTCAGTCTGGCGGCTGTGCGAAATCGGTTGATGTGACCCGTGCCTCGTGGCCAAGACAAGCCGCCTCGGAATCGACATGATGATCACGACGTCGTCCAGGCTCATGTGCGTCACATCGACCAGATTCACCGCCAGGATCTCGTCACCCACCTGCACGTGTGAACGCATGGTGACTGGCAGATAGCCGATAAAGACGAGAAACGATATCGCGGCGAACGAGAGGATAAATATCCCTCCCGAATGCGGGACCGATCGATGTCCAAGACCCGCGAAATGTCAAGGTGCAAAAGGATAAATTTAATTCGGCGCGTTCTCGTACACCTCTCTCTCTCTCTCTCTCTCTCTCTCTCTCTCTCTCTCTCTCTCTCTCTCTCTCTCTCTCTCTCTCTTCCGCTCTCTTTTTCTCGAAATAGGTTCCCAATCCTAAATGGCTGCTCCGAGCTCGTTCCGAGCACCGGCAGCAATTAAGCTCTCGCCTGGCAAAAAGAAGACGAGGGGACGATTCACGGATGTGTCTCGATTCTACCGCTTCCCTCGTTTTCTCCATCGCGCGACGGTTTCTCACTGTCGCCGTCCAGGCGACAACGGGCAAACTCACAGGGCGGAGATACTCACCTTCAAGCAGCCGCTGTTGTACACGGCGGTCTCCAGGGCTATCCTGGAGATAAAGACTCCGTCGTTCCTGTCGACGCCGTTGCCCTCGCGTATGTAGAGGCCGAGGGTCTGTCCCGGTCGTTTGATTATCTCGACGAAGTGGATGGGGTGCTTAGGATCCTGAAACGAAGATCGCCGGCGAACTTTCTTAATTCGTGCTGTCGAGATATTTCACGGCGTTCGTGCGCGCGCGAGCCCCCCGAATGAAAATTACGCTGCGCAAAATTGCGTCATTGTCGTGAAAATAATTTTCCCCCAAGCCCGGGTAGTACAAATGTGGCTGGTGCGAGTAGATTGTTACGCTCCGTTCGCGTAACTCTGTGACAGGTCGGGTTAAATACGCGAAGAATATTATCTCACGATGTCCTTTGCTCGATAGTTTTGACAATTAATTATCCAGTCTCTACAATTATTGACGGACAGGGAATTATTTAAAAAATTGAGCAAGATAAAGTAAAAAGTATATTGGACGATCCATCCAATTTTAACTTATAAAGTCGAGCTTGATATTAAAATGTCCACGTGGCCTGCTTTTAACAAGCCTCTGACAATGTCTGTACCTCGGCAAAGTAAATAATCCAATGTAGAAAAATTGTTAAACGACACCAACTGGTAAATTCTAATTAAAGAAATTTATTGCGATTAATATTACCGCGTGCCTCAATGGTCGAATTGGTGAGACGCCCGCCTAGACTGTGGGAAAGTCCTGGTTCGTACCCTGGCTGAGGTAATATTTTTCGCAATAAATTTCTTTAATGAGAATTTGCCAATTAGCGTCGTTTAACAGTTTTCCTACATTGGTTAATCACGTACTGGCGTCAAATAATTCTCTAAAGTAAATAACGTTCGTGCATTTTTATATATCCCGCAAAATGGCGGAACCAAATAAATATCCCAAGACTTCAATGCCGCTTCGCAATTGAATGATACGGAAAAGCGGAGAAATATGTACGACGAACGGGGAGTTAATGTGCCGGCCGTAACGAAAGAATTGCGCGTAGCGCTAATTTATGACAAGGTATTGCGATCCCACGCAAATGAATCACAATCTGTCGGGAACAGACGGCCCATCGATAACGTACCTGCATAGCAATAAATTTTTTCGCCGCCTCGGAAGCCTGTCTACCCATTTGCCGAGGCTCAATGACACGCACGACCATCTCTCCTCTCCGCTCAACAGCTTCAAGAGCCGCCGCTGTCGATGCGTCATGATCGTTTTCGACAGTCTCGATCTGCTTGAAGATCTCTGTACTGATCCCGCTCACCTGCAACGGTACATCCTCCCATTTCAGAAAACGCACCGCGAGCTTGTACACATGTCGTTTGCACGGACCGGTGAAATTGTCTCGACGAGAGTAATGCTTTTCATTGCTACTAAATCATTTCTATCGTGCAAAATATTGAACGATATAATACGGGCATTTCGTATCTTTCGTTGATATAAATAATAAGTAGGAAGATATAATTCAAACTGAAATAGAAGTGACTTTATCAATATACGATCCTGATGCAATAAGATCGCATTACTTGCAGAAAGCAAACGAACGCAAATAAAAATTTCTGGCTATCTCTTTATTAATGTATTGGTAAGTTATCGCTTTTGTATCTTGCACTCACTTGTTCACGCAAAAATGTGAGACGGTTTAATTTAAATTTGGCATATTTAATATAATAGCGATCAGATTACGTGAACAATACGTGGCGATTAAAGCACACGCCGATACGTTCTGTCGTCGAGACAGCTCCACGGGCAGCACAATAGAGTCCCGGGTGTCGGGATCCATCGTCGTGCTGTCCGGCAATTGAAGTTTGCCGACACAACGAACACTAAATTCGTCCATTGTGTCGGTAACGAGTTAATGAAGTGTCGCCACTACCTTCCTGAAGTCTCCTTGAATGACCATGGGGGGTGGTTCCTTGGGGCGCAACTGGTTGGCAGGTGCCTGCCTCCCAGGACTTGCGCTTATGTCTGTCACTTCCCCCCGGCCCTCCTGCAAAACAATAACCGATTATTTTCGCCGTTCGGCTGGACCGATCCTAGGGTCGTTAGGACTAATTGTTACAAAAACGGAACGACAAGTGGAAAATGACGGTTGTGTAAGTTCGATTGTCGAGATGTGGCGCGATCGTGGGCAAATTGCATGCGATACCGGGAAAATTTCAACGTCCAAATGGCATCGAAAGGGGATTAGTCAGGGTCTAGATCAATGATAACCGCAGCAACCAAACTACATATGTCACGAGTCAGCTACATATATGTCGCATACTCCATTGGCAATTACATAACTTGGCTTCCCCACATCTTACGTCATAAGATCGCAGTGATAGAACTCGTGTGATTATAATAATGACAACTGATAATAGATTTGTGCAAATGCAATATTATCTATTTATCATTTGGAGTGTTTTGCGAATCAAAACTTGATTGAGGAATTATTTAAATAATTAAAAAAAATTGTACATCTCGTCCATATTGTGCTTGTAAATCTTGTTAATATTAGACTCATAAATTGAAGAGATCTCATATAAGAATTCACGAGCTTATAAAAGGTGGAAAGTATTTCTCTCAAAGATGTAGAAATATTGCGAGCGTGAATAGCACAGTGTCCTGAAGCGAAAACTTCTGTAGTCGCTGAAATTTAATCAAAATGCATTTGGCGGATCACGAATCATACTTTCATAACTATTTCCAACAAAGTCTCTGAGGGAATTTTGTAATAATTCCTATTCATTGTATTAGGAAGAAAAATAGCCACCAAAATGAAACTTTTTAATTGGTAATCGTTACCCACGTCGACATAATATCATTAGATGCATCTGACAAAATGAAATGACAAAAGTTCGACTCGCTTGAATTTCTGCTTCTACCTTTCGAATATTTCACACCAGTCGAAAGTTACCGAATAAATGGTCCAGAGAAAAATATGTAAAATAGCGCTCTTTTATTCGAGACAAATGCGACGTGTAAATGCGAAGCTCCGTCAAGATCCTCTCACATCAGAGGCAGGAGGGGGCTTTAACGAAGCACGCGACGTCTCGCGGAAACTCATCAATCTGTCACTTCGACAACGCACAAGCACCAGCCGTAAATCCCCGCGCTCGTTGACCGTGATTTCGACCGGATTCGCATCTCACTGAGGCTATCGAGAAAAAAACGCACTCTTATCGAGCCACGCGCGGTCCGAGCTAGCTCATCCACCTGTCACGAACATCACCGTAAATCTTGGCGTTCGTTCGTTAACTACTACGATGCCAGGAGACACCGAGGGGGAGAGGGGAGAGATTATATTCGCTTCCGAGGGTAGCAAGACTTTTGCGGGACAATAGAGCCTTTAACCGATCGCGCCTGCCTCGAGCAAGCTCATTCCACCTGTCAGCGCACTTGACGGTAGTTGGCGACGCTGCGCCGTCCAAAGAACTAGCACATAAGGGTGAACCGTGGGAAAAACGCACCCCGCGGAGGCATGTGACCGGAACGAGCCACGCGGCAGTGCCGCACATCCGGTCGCAGAGCGACAGCAGGGACATCCACGCTGCCGCGGCCGATTTGCAGCCCCTTTCGCTCGCCGCCGACGGCGGCGGCGGTGGCGGCGACGGCTCCTGGAGCTCCTTGCCGCCCTTCCTGCCGGTAGCCCACCACCCCCGTGCTCCGTCCGTCTTCTCTTTCCGTCCCTCGGTCTCACCCGTCTGCCGGGCGGCGAACGCCGCGCTACCCCGTCGCGGCGGTCCCATACGTGCGCGAATCGTCCTTGGCTAGCACCGCTCAACAAGACGCCGGCCGGTCTTCCTCCCTTATGGCCTGTTTCTCTCTCGAGCGCAGACCGCTAGTCCCTTCTCGATTTCATGTGACCGGCGAACGGTGCGAAAGGGCGCGCGTAGGATGATTAGTAGGTGGGTGTCCGATGAGGAAATGAGTGCGACAGAGTGAGAAAATGATAAATATACAGACGGAGAATGAGGAAGCAAAAACGAGAGAGAGTGTGAGAAAGCGCGTGGATTACCTTGCGGAAGAAGAAGCACCCCGAGCCACCCCTGTCGCACATTCTCGCCTACCCCATGGTGGCTAATATGGCGGGAAGCGGCGTTCAGAAGCGAGTACGAGTGTCGGCGGTACGGGTAAGGGGTAAAAGGCGCGCGTGCGCCATCACCGGGGGGTTACCGTGTCGCCGCACGCGGAGGAGTAGTATGAGTGAGTATCGACCCGGCGTGACGTCACCTCACACCCTTCCTCAACGTGCCCTCCTCCCCCTGGCCCCGCTCGGTCTGCCCCCTCTTCCTACGCGCGCTCGAGCACTCCTACTACCTCGCAACGTACCTCCAACGTGGCGCTTCTCCGCCGTCCTCGCCCTCACCCTCGCCTCCTCACCCTCTCTCTGTGTACCCACTCGATTTCTCTCTGTCGCGCCCGCCGCCTCTTTCCACGTCATCTTCCTCTCTCATTATCCCGGCCCTCCCTGCCTGCCTTGTCCTTCTGACCCTCTGTCTTCGCCTCTTCCCTCGTCCACCCCCCGAGGTGGTGCTTTCTGACTCTTCGTTATTCGCGGTTTCCCACAAAATGCCCCTCTCCCCTCGTCCCAGGTATTTTTTAGTGTTTCGACAATCTCGTTCACGCGGCAGCTTTTTGCTCGGACTGAATTACGCATGTTCATCCCCTATTCGCCCATCTCGCCGTCCCGTTTTCCATTCGGGGCGCTCTTTGAGGCGACCGGGTCAGCCGCTCGCATAGTTCTTCCGCGCTTTAAGCCTTTCTCCTTCCTCTCCTCTTCTTCTCCTTCCTTCCTGTTATTTATCTTCACGCGCGTCCCCCCTCCCCCCTCCCCCCCCCATTTCTCCTGACTGTGCGCGGCAAATCGCCGCCGCTGTCTCTGTGTCCCTTAAGCGGCGCTTTTCATGCTTCTCTCGCCTCGCGCATGTCTTCCATGTCTTCCAATTCTTTTCTTTTTTTTTCTTCCTCGCGACGCTCTGTCGTTCCCCTCCGCTCGCACCCTCTCGCTCTTCCGTCCTCGCCCGCGCGGCCGCGGCTCCCCTCGATTGGATTTTTCTCGTTTCGCTTACTTCTTATTGCACTCTCGCTGCCACTCCACTTACGGGTGTCAGCGGTCGCGCGGATTCTCTCCTCCGACCTCTCACCTCGCGCGACAGCGGCAACCTTGCGTTCGCACTTTTTTTTTGTCGGCACGATGAATTTTTGCGACCCGTAAGAGTGGATTTCTTTCTGATCCGTACTCGCGCTCGCGCTCACCCTCCATGCATCAAAGTGTCGTTCCGGTCGTCCGGTTTCTTCTACCACGATAATGTCCCAGGTTATTTCCGCGTGTATCTCTTCACCGACCCTCTCTTTTTCCCTCGTTTTATCGCCGCATCTTTCCCTCGCGCGTTTCTGCGCGCGATGCCAGTCTGCGCATTGCATATTCTCGTATTATTTCACGTGTCATCTCGCGCGTTTCCTGAGCGGGGGAGGGGATCCTTTTTCTCTCTCCCTTTCCCTTCTTCCCCAACGTGCGTTCGTCCTTTTCTTGCGCCCTGCCCCGTGCAGCGCCCGTACGTACGGTATACGGAGTATTTACTTTTTCTCGAGGTTCTTCACCTCTCCATCACGTCTGTTCTCGAGTCGGCTACTACTTCCCCATCGCGCCCAACTTCTTGCTCCGCATATGACGGCGGTACGCAACTCCATTACAGACAGCAGCTGCGACTTGAAGCCAGCGCGACTCGGCCCCCGGAGCGATAAATAAGCCCCGGGCGGGGAACAAACGCGAGAAACGCCAGTAATGCACTTTCCAAAGTAGTCTATATCATCATCCCCTCGCGTTGACATAATGCGAGTCGTTTTCCAGCCGGAGGGGCACCTCTTTGTAGGACGTGAAGCGACATTGAGCGAGAGGAGATCGCCGGTATTGAATGTACAATAATATTTTCATTGAACAGCAAGCCCGCGCTGTTTTTCCCGCGAGAAACGAGGTATCGAAACGAATACGGGGAGAGCAGCCCAGCAAAATGCAGAAACGTGATAAATACGAGAAATATCTCGCGAAGATCTGTTTTTTTTTTCCTTCGTATGGAGCTTCTCTTGATAATTGCCTTACTTTACATCCTCTCGCGAGAGAGCGAAAAAACCCCGATGTAATAACGATGTCACTTTTAACAAAATAATTCCACGTCGGGGACATCAAAGGTCGCGCAAGCTGAGCATTGATCTCGTTCGCGAATAATGGTCAGCGATAAAATTCCACGGGCGAGAGTTCCTCGGAACGGGTATAAAGACCTCCTATGAAATAAACTGCGATTTCCACCGTCAACATATAATCATCGATTTCCGGAGGATTTATTAATGGTCATTACGATAATTTGGGTCGCGGCGAGCTTGGAATATCCGCTTGGAAAATTACGACCTCTCTCGGGCCGAACGGCCGTGCTCCTCTTCTCCGTCCCCTGCTCCTCCATCCTTGTCGGGCCGCCACCCCCCCCCCCCCGTCCACCCCGTCGCTATTTCGCCGACGTGTCCAGTGACCTACGTGGATGCCCATCGCGATGATTTACGAGGTAGGGGAACGGACGGACGACCGGATTCTTCCCCACCAGGCGCGCGAGGAGTACGGCGCGAGCGTAATGGACGGTGGTGACAATACAGCGGTGGTAGTAACAGTAGTAACGCGTTGTAACGCGTGGACATCGGGGAATGTTGTAATGGCGTATGCACGGTATATTAATGCCGCGCTCCACGCACACTTTCCGCCTCCAATTTAATCCGCAACGCTTTTTCCACCCTCGGCGCTCTCGCATCCTCTCTTTCTCCCCTCCCCTCCCCTACCCCTCTCTCCGTCCCCTGACATTTTTCTCGGTACACTCACCTACGTTATAAAGTGGGCGGAAACTCTCTTAACGATGTGCCGGATCCTTAATGCGGGGAAAAATTGATTTCTTTATACGGCGAATTCCCTACTTATACGCGCCGTCGCATGGCCATCCATTACTTGTTAAATTTCCGCGG